GACCCATAGACTCACACAGAGACCCATAGACTCACTCACACAGAGACCCATAGACTCACTCACACAGACACCCATAGACTCACTCACACAGAGACCCATAGACTCACTCGCACAGAGACCCATAGACTCATCACACCTGGACCCATAGACTCACCACTACACAGAGACCCATAGACTCACCACTACACAGAGACCCATAGACTCACCACTACACAGAGACCCATAGACTCACTCACACAGAGACCCATAGACTCACTCACACAGAGACCCATAGACTCACTCACACAGACACCCATAGACTCACACAGAGCCCCATAGACTCACCACTCACACAGACACCCATAGACTCACACAGACACCCACAGACTCACTCACACAGAGACCAATAGACTCACTCACACAGAGACCCATAGCCTCACTCACACAGAGACCCACAGACTCACTCACACAGACACCCATAGACTCACACAGAGACCCATAGACTCACCACTCACACAGACACCCATAGACTCACACAGAGACCCATAGACACACACAGAGACACCCACAGACTCACACAGAGACCCACAGACTCACTCACACAGAGACCCACAGACTCACACAGAGACCCATAGACTCACTCACACAGAGACCCATAGACTCACACAGAGACCCACAGACTCACTCACACAGAGACCCATAGACTCACCACTCACACAGACACCCATAGATTCACACAGACACCCATAGACTCACTCACACAGAGACCCATAGACTCACACAGAGACCCATAGACTCACACAGAGACCCATAGACTCACTCACACAGAGACCCATAGACTCACTCACACAGACACCCATAGACTCACTCACACAGAGACCCATAGACTCACTCGCACAGAGACCCATAGACTCATCACACCTGGACCCATAGACTCACCACTACACAGAGACCCATAGACTCACCACTACACAGAGACCCATAGACTCACCACTACACAGAGACCCATAGACTCACTCACACAGAGACCCATAGACTCACTCACACAGAGACCCATAGACTCACTCACACAGACACCCATAGACTCACACAGAGCCCCATAGACTCACCACTCACACAGACACCCATAGACTCACACAGACACCCACAGACTCACTCACACAGAGACCAATAGACTCACTCACACAGAGACCCATAGCCTCACTCACACAGAGACCCACAGACTCACTCACACAGACACCCATAGACTCACACAGAGACCCATAGACTCACCACTCACACAGACACCCATAGACTCACACAGAGACCCATAGACTCACCACTCACACAGAGACCCATAGACTCACCACTACACAGAGACCCATAGACTCACTCACAGAGACCCATAGACTCACCACTCACACAGACACCCATAGACTCACTCACACAGACACCCACAGACTCACTCACACAGAGACCCATAGACTCACTCGCATAGAGACCCGTAGACTCACACAGAGACCCATAGACTCACTCACAGAGACCCATAGACTCACCACTCACACAGAGACCCACAGACTCACTCACACAGAGACCCATAGACTCACTCACACAGAGACTCATAGACTCACACACACAGAGACCCATAGACTCACTCACACAGAGACCCATAGACTCACTCACACAGAGACCCATAGACTCACTCACACAGAGACCCATAGACTCACCACTCACACAGAGACCCACAGACTCACACACACAGAGACCCATAGACTCACTCACACAGAGACCCATAGACTCACTCACACAGAGACCCATAGACTCATCACACAGAGACCCATAGACTCATCACACAGACCCATAGACTCATCACACAGAGACCCATAGACTCACACAGAGACCCATAGACTCATCACACAGACCCATAGACTCATCACACAGACCCATAGACTCATCACACAGAGACCCATAGACTCACACAGATACCCATAGCCTCACTCACACAGAGACCTACAGACTCACTCACACAGACACCCATAGACTCACTCACACACAGAGACCCATAGACTCACACACACAGAGACCCATAGACTCACTCACACAGAGACCCATAGACTCACTCACACAGAGACCCATAGACTCACTCACACAGAGACCCATAGACTCACTCACACAGAGACCCATAGACTCACTCACACAGAGACCCATAGACTCACTCACACAGAGACCCATAGACTCACTCACACAGAGACCCATAGACTCACTCACACAGACACCCATAGACTCACTCACACAGAGCCCCATAGACTCACCACTCACACAGACACCCATAGACTCACACAGACACCCACAGACTCACTCACACAGAGACCAATAGACTCACTCACACAGAGACCCATAGCCTCACTCACACAGAGACCCACAGACTCACTCACACAGACACCCATAGACTCACACAGAGACCCATAGACTCACCACTCACACAGAGACCCATAGACTCATCACAGAGACCCATAGACTCATCACACAGACCCATAGACTCACTCACACAGAGACCCATAGACTCACTCACACAGAGACCCATAGACTCATCACAGAGACCCATAGACTCATCACACAGACCCATAGACTCACTCACACAGAGACCCATAGACTCACTCACACAGAGACCCATAGACACACACAGAGACCCATAGACTCACTCACACAGAGACCCATAGACTCACCACTCACACAGAGACCCATAGACTCACTCACACAGAGACCCATAGACTCATCACAGAGACCCATAGACTCATCACAGAGACCCATAGACTCATCACACAGACCCATAGACTCACTCACACAGAGACCCATAGACTCACTCACACAGAGACCCATAGACACACACAGAGACCCATAGACTCACTCACACAGAGACCCATAGACTCACTCACACAGAGACCCATAGACTCACCACACAGAGACCCATAGACTCACCACACAGAGACCCATAGACTCACCACTACACAGAGACCCATAGACTCACTCACACAGACTCACACAGAGACCCATAGACTCACTCACACAGAGACCCACAGACTCACTCACACAGAGACCCATAGACTCACTCACACAGACACCCACAGACTCACTCACACAGAGACCCATAGACTCACTCACACAGAGACCCATAGACTCACTCACACAGAGACCCATAGACTCACTCACACAGAGACCCATAGACTCACTCACACAGAGACCCATAGACTCACCACTCACACAGAGACCCATAGACTCACTCACACAGAGACCCATAGACTCACTCACACAGAGACCCATAGACTCACTCACACAGAGACCCATAGACTCACTCACACAGAGACCCATAGACTCACTCACACAGAGACCCATAGACTCACTCACACAGAGACCCATAGACTCACACAGAGACCCATAGACTCACTCACACAGACCCATAGACTCATCACACAGAGACCCATAGACTCATCACACAGACCCATAGACTCATCACACAGAGACCCATAGACTCACACAGAGACCCATAGACTCACCACTCACACAGACCCATAGACTCACTCACACAGAGACCCACAGACTCACTCACACAGACACCCATAGACTCACTCACACAGAGACCCACAGACTCACTCACACAGAGTCCCATAGACTCACACAGATACCCATAGCCTCACTCACACAGAGACCTACAGACTCACTCACACAGACACCCATAGACTCACTCACACACAGAGACCCATAGACTCACACACACAGAGACCCATAGACTCACTCACACAGAGACCCATAGACTCATCACAGAGACCCATAGACTCATCACACAGACACCCATAGACTCATCACACAGACCCATAGACTCACTCACACAGAGACCCATAGACTCACTCACACAGAGACCCATAGACTCATCACAGAGACCCATAGACTCATCACACAGAGACCCATAGACTCACTCACACAGACACTCATAGACTCACTCACACAGACACCCATAGACTCACTCACACAGACACCCATAGACTCACCACTCACACAGAGACCCATAGACTCACCACTCACACAGAGACCCATAGACTCACTCACACAGACACCCACAGACTCACTCACACAGACACCCACAGACTCACTCACACAGAGACCCACAGACTCACTCACAGAGACCCATAGACTCACTCACAGAGACCCACAGACTCACACAGAGACCCACAGACTCACTCACACAGAGACCCATAGACTCACTCACACAGAGACCCATAGACTCACTCACACAGAGACCCACAGACTCACTCACACAGACACCCATAGACTCACTCACACAGACACCCACAGACTCACTCACACAGACACCCATAGACTCACCACTCACACAGACACCCATAGACTCACCACTCACTCACACAGAGACCCATAGACTCACCACTCACTCACACAGAGACCCATAGACTCACCACTCACACAGAGACCCACAGACTCACCACTCACACAGAGACCCACAGACTCACTCACACAGACACCCATAGACTCACCACTCACTCACACAGAGACCCATAGACTCACTCACACAGAGACCCATAGACTCACTCACACAGAGACCCATAGACTCACTCACACAGAGACCCATAGACTCACCACTCACACAGAGACCCACAGACTCACCACTCACACAGAGACCCACAGACTCACTCACACAGACACCCATAGACTCACTCACACAGACACCCATAGACTCACCACTCACTCACACAGAGACCCATAGACTCACTCACACAGAGACCCATAGACTCACTCACACAGAGACCCATAGACTCACTCACACAGAGACCCATAGACTCACTCACACAGAGACCCATAGACTCACCACTCACACAGAGACCCATAGACTCACTCACACAGAGACCCATAGACTCACCACTCACACAGAGACCCATAGACTCACCACTCACACAGAGACCCATAGACTCACCACTCACACAGACACCCACAGACTCACCACCATCTTTGTCTTGTCTCCCCGTGTGCAGGAGCGACCATCGGATGGACCGCCGTGAGAAGCCCTACTGAGGTCTCCCCCTCGTCCACCTCCTCACCCACCCCCTCACCCTCCTCACCCACCTCCTCACCCACCCCCTCACCCTCCTCACCCACCTCCTCACCCACCCCCTCACCCTCCTCACCCCACCACCTCATCGTCGTCCGCGCGGGGGAGTGGTGGTGGTGGTGATGATGGCGGTGTTGGTGGTGGTGATGATGGTGGTGTTGTTGTGGTGATGACGGTGGTGATGTTGATGGCGGTGTTGGTGATGATGGTGTTGTGGTGTTGGTGATGATGATGGCGGTGTTGACGGTGGTGATGGTGATGGCGGTGTTGTGGTGATGTTGATGGCGGTGTTGGTGGTGGTGACGGTGGTGGTGTCGACAGGAGCCGTCGGGAGCAAGGTGTACGTGGAGGCCATGTCGCAGGTTCTTGGTTATTTTATTAGCTCCTCCCCCCCCCTCTTTCCTCGTCATCATCGTCGTCGTCATTGTCTTCATCGTCGTCGTCATTGTCTTCATCATCGTCGTCATTGTCTTCATCGTCGTCGTCATTGTCTTCATCATCGTCGTCATTGTCTTCATCGTCGTCGTCATTGTCTTCATCATCATCGTCATTGTCTTCATCATCATCGTCATTGTCTTCATCATCGTCATTGTCTTCATCATCGTCGTCATTGTCTTCATCATCATCGTCATTGTCTTCATCATCATCGTCATTGTCTTCATCGTCGTCATTGTCTTCATCGTCGTCATTGTCTTCATCATCGTCGTCATTGTCTTCATCATCGTCATCATCGTCGTCATTGTCTTCGTCATTGTCTTCATCATCGTCATCATTGTCTTCATCGTCATTGTCTTCATCATCGTCGTCATTGTCTTCATCGTCATTGTCTTCATCATCGTCTTCATCATTGTCTTCGTCATCGTCATCATTGTCTTCATCGTCATTGTCTTCATCATCGTCGTCATTGTCTTCATCATCGTCGTCATTGTCTTCATCATCGTCATTGTCTTCATCGTCATTGTCTTCATCATCGTCGTCATTGTCTTCATCATCATCGTCATTGTCTTCATCATCATCGTCATTGTCTTCATCGTCGTCATTGTCTTCATCGTCGTCATTGTCTTCATCATCGTCGTCATTGTCTTCATCATCGTCATCATCGTCGTCATTGTCTTCGTCATTGTCTTCATCATCGTCATCATTGTCTTCATCGTCATTGTCTTCATCATCGTCGTCATTGTCTTCATCGTCATTGTCTTCATCATCGTCTTCATCATTGTCTTCGTCATCGTCATCATTGTCTTCATCGTCATTGTCTTCATCATCGTCGTCATTGTCTTCATCGTCATTGTCTTCATCATCGTCTTCATCATTGTCTTCGTCATCGTCATCATCGTCGTCATTGTCGTCATCGTCGTCATCGTCGATGAGGGTACACCAGAAGAGGTGCGACTCCGTCCCCGGCGGTAAAACGTCGCTCGAAGGCAGCGGTGGAGTGCGTGGTGGGTGAGAGAGGGGGAGAGGCTGGCTGGCTCGCTGATGGCTCGCTGGCTGGCTCACTGGCTGGCTGGCTCGCTAGCTCACTCGCTGGCTGGCTCGCTGGCTAGCTCACTTGCTGGCTGGCTGGCTCGCTGATGGCTCGCTGGCTGGCTCGCTGGCTCACTGGCTGGTTGGCTCACTGGTTGGCTCACTGGCTGGCTGGCTAGCTCACTCGCTGGCTGGCTCACTGGCTGGCTGGCTGGCTCGCTGGCTCACTGACTGGCTCGCTGGCTAGCTCACTGGCTGACTCGCTGGCTGGCTGGCTCGCTGGCTGGCTAGCTCGCTGGTTGGCTCGCTGGCTCACTGGCTGGCTGGCTCGCTGGCTGGCTCACTGGCTGGCTCACTGGCTGGCTCGCTGGCTGGCTGGCTGGCTCACTGGCTGGCTGGCTCACTGGCTGGCTCGCTGGCTGGCTCACTGGCTGGCTGGCTCGCTGCAGTTTGTTGTGTTGGGCTGTCACGATCATCGTGGTCGTCGCGATTGTGGTCGTGGTTGTCGTGGTCATGGAGACTGTGATTATCGTCATGGTGATCGTGGTGATCATGGGCGTGGATGGCCGTGGTAGTTTTAGTGGCAGTGTTTGCCGCGTAGTCCGTTTCGTTTACGCCTCCCCGTGTTTTGCTACCGGTTCCCAATAAAACGTGAGAGTCGAGAGAGTGGGTCACTGTGTGTGGGTCACTGTGTGTGGGTCACTGTGTGTTTGTGGGTCAGTGTGTGTGTGTGGGTCACTGTGTGTGTGGGTCACTGTGGGTCACTGTGTGTTTGTGGGTCAGTGTTTGTGGGTCACTGTGTGTGTGGGTCACTGTGGGTCAGTGTGTGGGTCACTGTGTGTGTGGGTCACATTGTGTGTGTGTGGGTCACTGTGTGTGGGTCACATTGTGTGTGTGGGTCACATTGTGTGTGTGGGTCAGTGTGTGTGGGTCACTGTGTGTGTGGGTCACTGTGTCACTGTGTGTGTGTGGGTCACTGTGTGTGGGTCACTGTGTGTGGGTCACTGTGTGTGGGTCACTGTGGGTCAGTGTGTGGGTCACATTGTGTGTGTGGGTCACTGTGTGTGTGTGGGTCACTGTGTGTCACTGTGTGTGTGGGTCACTGGGTCACTGTGTGCTGGTCACTGTGTGGGTCACTGTGTGTGTGTGTGGGTCACTGTGTGTGTGGGTCACTGTGTGGGTCACTGTGTGTGTGTGGGTCACTGTGTGGGTCACTGTGTGTGTGTGGGTCACTGTGTGTGTGGGTCACTGTGTGGGTCACTGTGTGTGTGTGGGTCACTGTGTGGGTCACTGTGTGTGTGTGGGTCACTGTGTGGGTCACTGTGTGTGTGGGTCACTGTGTGGGTCACTGTGTGTGTGTGGGTCACTGTGTGGGTCACTGTGTGTGTGGGTCACTGTGTGTGTGTGGGTCACTGTGGGTCAGTGTGTGTGTGGGTCACATTGTGTGTGTGGGTCAGTGTGTGTGGGTCACTGTGTGTGTGGGTCACTGTGGGTCAGTGTGTGTGTGGGTCACTGTGTGTGTGGGTCACTGTGTGTGTGTGGGTCACTGTGTGTGTGTGGGTCACTGTGTGTGTGTGTGGGTCACTGTGTGTGTGTGTGGGTCACTGTGTGTGTGTGGGTCACTGTGTTGGTCACTGTGTGGGTCACTGTGTGGGTCACTGTGTGTGGGTCACTGAGTTACATTGTGGGTGGGTCACATTGTGTGTGTGGGTCACTGTGGGTCACTGTGTGTGTGTGGGTCACTTACATTGTGTGTGTCACCGTGTGTGTGGGTGACATTGTGGCGGGCAAGGCTGCGATGGCTGGGTCATGTAGCCAGCATGCCCAGCCACCGCATGCCGAAACAGCTTTTGTTTCGGCCGGATTGAGGGGGCTAAGCGGGCGCGGCACGGGCTAGAGAAGAGATGGAGTGATGTGGTACAGGAGGACGTGGAGCTGAGTGGACTTGCCGATGACCGGTACCAGCGGTGTCAAGATCGGCCTCTGTGGAGGAGGCTCGTGAAGGATGCTACTGGGCAGTTGGAGGCAGTCGCCCTCCAACAACAACGGAGGGCGGAGGAGCGACGCTCAGAACAACGAGCGGAGCGCCGGGTGGCTAAAGCACAGCAGGTTGACACAGTAGGGGGCACAGGTGGTGCATCAGCCAGTCGTCTCAGTCAGTCGACCAGTGGCACCTGGGTCTGCCCCGTGACCTCCTGCCAGCGGGCGTTCGACACTTCACGTGGCCTCAGGGTAACGTCACCGCCACTTAGTGGCGAATGGCGGTTGTGTGGCAGTGTAAGGGGAGCGATAGTGTAGCAGTTAGCGCTACGCTGCGCTATGAACCTGGCGACCCGGGTTTGATTCCCGCTCAAGGCCAACACAGGTGAAGATTATCTGAACCGGTCCCGGGCCTCCCCTAGGTCGACTCGGCCTCAAATGAGTACCTGGTGCGGTGTGTAAACATTGCCACAAGGGAGACAAAGGCGGTCGGGCGTGGTGCTGGCCACCCACCCCCTCGTGTACCGTTCCGGCCTTCATAGGTGCTCACTAACAGCACTTGCCCCTACAGTCTGTTAAGGCTATATGGGGGATCTGTGTGTTGCTAAGATCTGGGCTGCTCTTATTGCTAGCAACAGCCACTTGTGTCACCAGGGACACTTTGACCACCACGCAGAAGATGGTCACTTTAACGTGAAGACGGTCACTTTAATGTGAAGACGGTCACTTTAATGTGAAGACTGACACTTTAATGTGAAGACTGACACTTTAATGTGAAGACGGTCACACTTTAATGTGAAGACGGTCACTTCACTCACACACTCGGCAAGATGCCCGCGGAGACAAAGTCTCAGGGTCTGTCTCAGAGTGTCAGGATCCTCGGGGTCTTAGAGGGTCAGGGTCTTGAGACCAGAGTCTCAGAGACTCAGAGTCTCAGAGTGTCAGTCTCTCAGAGTGTCAGTCTCTCAGAGTCTCAGTCTCTCAGAGTCTCAGTCTCTCAGAGTCTCAGTTCTCTCAGAGTCTCAGTCTCTCAGAGTCTCAGTCTCTCAGAGTCTCAGTCTCTCAGAGTCTCAGTCTCTCGAGTCTCAGTCTCTCAGAGTCTCAGTGTCTCAGAGTCTCAAAGTGTCCAGTCTCTCAGAAGTAGTTCTCAGTCTCTCAGTGTCTCAAGTCTCTCAGAGTCTCAGTCTCTCAGAGTCTCAGTCTCTCAGAGTCTCAGTCTCTCAGAGGTCTCAGTCTCTCAGAGTCTCAGTCTCTCAGAGTCTCAGTCTCTCAGAGTCTCAGTCTCTCAGAGTCTCAGTCTCTCAGAGTCTCAGTCTCTCAGAGTCTTCAGGTCTCTCAGAGTCCTCAGTGTCAGTCTCTCAGAGGTCTTCAGTAGTCAGTCTCTCAGAAGTCTCAGTGTCAGTCTCTCAGAGTCTCAGTGTCAGTCTCTCAGAGTCTCCAGTGTCGGGCTCTCAGAGTCTCAGTCTCTCAGAGGTCTCAGTCTCAGTCCCAGAGTCTCAGTCTCCAAGTGTCTCAGTGTCCTCAGTGTCAGAGTCTCAGTCTCAGAGTCTCAGTCCCCCCCCCCCCCCCAGCCAGAGTCTCAAAGTGTCAGTCTCTCAGTGTCAGTCTCTCAGAGTCTC